ATAGATACATAAATAAATTAATTAATTAATAAATAGATTAATTAATTTATTAAATAAATAAACATAACTGTGTTTGTTGTACCACCAGTGAAGTGCCCACAACTCCAGGTCGACTTCGCTACCATCGAACACACGGTGCTCAATGACGTGGAAACGGCCGTTGTGACGTGTAACTCCGGCTACACGGCGAGGGACGGCTCCTGGCAAACCTCCGCCCCGACACAGGTCAAGTACACGTGCGTCAACGGCATCTGGGACCCCACACTCCTCAGCTGTTTGCCTGGTCAGTTGGACTTTTTTTTTTTGGTCAACTCTTTAAACCCTGATTTTTTTTCGGCATTTCCCAGAGTTTTTTCTACGTGACCTTATGCTGCTGCGAGCGCCATAAAACTCTTACTAAAGAAACAGTCACCTAAACCTGGTGTTTGGCAGGTGCTCTGGTGTGGCTTGCTCCTTATTTTTTCCAATCAAACATCTAACGTACTTCCTTATCTCTCCTCTTTCTTTTTTTTTATTTGTTACTCTCTTGTAACACTTCTTAGCTTCGGCACTTATATGATCTTATTGTCTTGAAAGTGCCGTAAAACTCTTACTAAAAACTAAAAGCTAAAACCTGGTGCACTATGTCTCATTATAACCCCAAAAGCTCAGCCAGCATGTATATTAGGTCTAATAGAGATGCCGTAGCTGTGACATTTCACCTTTCAAATAACACTACAGCCCTCTCTCTAAATAATAATAATCTCACGCTGCACTTTTAAAATGTCGCCTGACAGTTTTGAAAGGGATTAAAAACCCGAACACTGACTTATCTAGTCTACCTTTCATGACATTCCAGAGACTTGCGAGGCGGATATAATCCTGAATGTGCAAAGCCAGAGCTCGGGATATCTGCTGGGAGCTCAGCATATGGTCGCCACCTGTCTCAACGGCTACTACTTCCCCGACGGTACCGTGGACAAAAGTTTTCTCTGTGACCACGGAGCCTGGGTCCCCGAGCTGGAACACTGCTCAGGTGAGATGAGATGAGATGAGGTG